TATATATGTGTGTGTGTGTGTGTGTGTGTGTGCGTGCGTGCGTGCGTGCGTGCGTGCGTGCGTGCGTGTGTGCCTGCGTGCGTGTGTGCGTGCGTGCGTGCGTGCGTGCGTGCGTGCGTGCGTGCGTGCGTGCGTGCGTGCGTGCGTGCGTGACCATGAGCGTTGTTACTGCGCGAATGTTTACCGTGATTTCCTAATGAGTGTGTGCTTTTCCTCACTGTTTTGCAGAAGATGTTTCCCGGCCCCACTCCTCTCAACTGTGCGGCTCCGGACGGACCGCCGCCCATCGTAGGCACGGACACTAGCTCGGGTGACCCGCGCTGCCGTGTGTTCATCGGAAATCTCAACACGTTTAAGGTGGGTCTTGCCTGTGTGTGTTAGTGTTTGTGTGTAAATTCGGCAAGCATTACGTGATATTCACGACATGGTTTGTAATTCCGCACATGCAACAATACATCCAAGTTCAAGAATTTTAGCTTTGATGTATTTCTATCTAGAGCTTGGTACAGCTTTGATCATGCAGCTTTGACACAAGTATTGATTTGCGAGAAAGATTGCTGTTGCTATTCTCTCGTATAATACGGTCTTATTACTAAAACTTTCAATGCCAGTAAGAGGTTATTCAAAGTTAAAATTATCAAAATAACTTCCCCTCCCCCATAAGCGTAAGGGATTAGTTTTGCCATGTTCGTAATTAGCAATTGCATTAAGGAGTGTGACTCGATGAAAAATGCATAATTTCGGAATTACTGACATTTACTGTGTGTTGATCAGTTGTAACGAAATAAAAATGACCTCAATATTTTCGGGGCACATTCCATTTTCTCTGCGATATTTCACTGCGAGAACACCTGTCCATACTGTGAGTAGATCATTTCGATGAGTACAGACTAAACATTGCTAACATTGACTAAAATGTCAGCTTTGATACTACCTCTTCGTGGTGGAAAATGTATGAAGGAAAGCAATGAAATATCGCAGAACAAGTGGTGTGATGTAAATTGTAACTATATCGGTCAGCTTTATTGCATTACAATATATAAGCATTTAGAAATCTTGGGTTAGGGCAAATAAATGTTGACTTTTAGGTTATTAGCTAGGTATATCCTTTACTGATGTTCTTTAACTACCTCTAGGAAGATCTATTACATGTGCATTATTAATATTATACGTATAAGTATATTCTCCCATATGGCGTTGTTTTCGTATCGAGCGTGTTTGCTTAGTAGGTGTAAACCTAACGCATTATCAACTTAATAGTCGAGGCTCATTACAACTATTATTACACTATAACGTTATCAGACCGTCTTGTGTGATTTTATTTTTTAATTTCCGTTCATAATTAGTGACGAGATTCGTTTAGATACACGTTATATTCGCGCCTCCCTGCGACGGAGACCAATTAGTGCAGTCCGTCTACAGATTCTATACCCTTCTAACATACAAACCCTTTCGCCGCTGCAATTCCATTGCTAACAAGACTCCGAAGAGTCAGGTTGATATAATTGCGAGTTGTGGCTGTACGTGCACGTTATTATATATAATTATGCACTTTATATATGCCAGGCTCGCGCGGGGAAATTACTGAATACGTGTGCAGTATATAGATGGCGCTGATCGAAGCACTTTTTTATTTGATTCGTCGAGACGAAGACGTCGGTTTTCTGCCGATAGGCCTGCGCTGGTTGTATATATAGCGTTTGTATGTAATTGCCGACTGCGTTCTGTTGCTCGTTAGCGCTTTCCATTCATTCCCGTCGCTACCGTACTTTAATTACGGTGCTGAAAACATCGCTGGGGCGTATTCACGAGCGTCTGCGGCGTCTTGTGATGAAAATCGTTTCGCAACGTGGTAAAATTACTTCTTCTCCCGCGATTGCATAAGCCGTAGTAATCGTTTCGGCATGGCATGCATTATGTCGACATGGTTATGTGTGTATCACAGGTCCGATCAATATAGTCGCCACCTGCGTTATAAAGCTTGTGTTCGCCTAGCGCAAATACGCCATTAGAAAAAGAGAGGTGGACAGACAGACAGACAGACAGACAGACAGACAGACAGACAGACAGACAGACAGACAGACAGACAGACAGACAGACAGACAGACAGACAGACAGACAGACAGGAACAGGAATAGGAGAGAGAGAGAGAGAGAGAGAGAGAGAAGAGAGAGAGAGAGAGAGGGGGGGGAGGGAGGGAGAGAGAGAGAGAGAGGGAGGGAGGGAGGGGGGG